CCCCAAAACCCCAAAACCCCAAAACCCCTTTAAGAAGGAGGATATTGGGGATAAAATAATTTAGAAGAAATGGAAGGAGATACAACAAGGATATGCAAGATCGCAACCTTTAATCTCAACCAATGGGCGATGGACTTTGAACATAATAAAGCTAATATTATTGAATCCATTAAGCAAGCTGAAAAGGAAGGAGCGAGTATTAGGTTTGGACCTGAACTTGAGATTCCAGGGTATAGCTGTGAAGACCATTTCCTTGAGATGGATACAACCAATCATTCATGGGAAGTACTTGCTGAGATCATTGAGGAAGGATATACTGATAATATCATATGAGATATAGGAATCCCTGTGTATCATAAAACATTTCTTTACAATTGTAAAGTTGTTGTTTATAAAAGACAGATTCATTTACTTAGACCAAAGATCCAGCTCTGATTTGAGCAAAATTACAGAGAAACCAGGTAAATTAGCTCGTAAAATTGTAGATATTTCCAAGCATGGACCAATATTAAAAGAGTTGAAGACTTCACTTTGCCCAAAGTGATCACCAACATAACAGGCCAAAAGAAAACAAAAATTGGAGTTGCTATAGTAAAGCTAAACGATACAGAATATGCTCATGAAATCTGCCAAGAAATGTACGAACCTTCAAATCCAGCTGCTGAGCTGTATCTTGATGGTGCAGAGATTATTTGCAATAGTTCAGGATCTCACCATCACTTAAGAAAGTTAAACAAGAGGCTACAGCTCATCACTACTTCTACACACAAGAGTGGGGGAGTATACGTGTACTCTAACCAACAAGGCTGTGATGGATCAAGACTTTACTATGATGGGAGCTCCATGATCGCTATGAATGGACAAGTCATTAAGCAAGGCTCCCAATTCAGCATCAAAAACCTTGAAGGAGTCTACGCTGTTGTTAACCTTGATGATGTCAGAAATTATAGAAGAGAAATCAGAAACAAAAGTCTCAGAGATCCAGATGAGCCTGAATTCCCAAGAATCGAGATTGATTATAATCTGTGCCAACATGATTTCTTGGATCTTACAGAGCCTCAAGGAGAGATTAGGATTCATAAACCAATGGAGGAAATTAGTCTAGGTCCAGCTTTATGGCTGTGGGACTATCTCAGACGCTCAGGTGCCAGAGGATATTTTCTACCACTATCTGGAGGACTTGACAGTGCATCAGTTGCAACAATTGTTGGATCAATGTGTCACCTTGTGTTCAGTGCTATCCATGATGACAATGACGAGCAAGTTCTTGAAGATCTTAGAAATATCACCAGACAAGATGACTTCACACCAGAGTCACCAAAAGATGTGGCAGCACAAGTTCTGAACTGCTGATACATGGGGACCAAGAACTCTTCTGAAGAAACACTCAAGAGAGCTAAAGCTTTGTCTGAAGACATCGGGTTCAAATTCTACAATGTTGAAATCGATGATTTGTTTGATGTAACAAAGACACTGTTTCACAACTTGACTGGCAAAGAACCCAAATTTGAAGCACACGGAGGAACATATAATGAAGACCTTGCTCTCCAAAATATTCAAGCTAGACAGAGAATGGTGATGTCTTACCTAATGGCTCAGCTAATGCCATGGGTTAATGAGCAAAATGGATTTTTATTGGTTTTAGGCTCAGCAAATCTTGACGAAGGTCTAAGAGGATATATGACCAAATATGACTGCAGTTCAGCAGATATCAATCCGATTGGTGGAATTAATAAAAGTGATTTAAGATCCTTCATTGCCTATGCAAAAGACCATTTTGAATATTCATCTCTGCAAGATATTCTTGAGGCAAACCCTTCTGCAGAGCTTAGACCAATTGACGATAAGACAAAAGATTCTACTCAAATTGATGAAGAAGAGATGGGAATGACTTATGATGAGCTAAACCAATTTGGAAGACTCAGAAAGATTCATAAATGTGGCCCAGTATCAATGTTCAAAGAGTTACTTCTAATCTGGAAGCATCTCACTCCAGAAGAGGTTGCTACTAAAGTAAAGAGGTTCTTCTTCTACTACTCCGTAAACAGACACAAAGCCACTACTCTCACTCCAGCTTACCACGCTGAAGACTACGGTACTGATGACAACAGGTTCGACCACCGCCAGTTCCTCTACAACACCAGTTGGGATTACCAATTCAAAAGAATTGATAAGCTAGTGAAGCACTACACCGAAAAGAAGAAGGAGGTCTAACCAAAAAGTATCCAAATTTCATTTTAAATTAATTGAGAAGGGGTTTTGGGGTTTTGGGGTTTTGGGGTTTTGGGG